TGACAAATTCTTTGAAGGACACAAACTAGTAAAGTTTACTCAAGAAGAAATAGATGTATATATTAAAGAAATTGTATTTGTTATTACAAACCTTTCCACAAAGTAAGCTCCAGGCCTAGAGGGCTGCAGTGTTGAATTATATCAAATATTTAAGGAAGAAATAATAGCAATTATCTACAAACTTCTAGGTTTGAAAATGAGGGAATATTTAATAGCTTATTCTGTGAGGCCACCAAAACCAGACCAAGACATTGTAAGTAAAGGAAACTGCAGGTCAATATCCCTCATGAAAATACATAAAATACTTCTAACAAAATTTTAGCAAATCAAAGCAACAATATATAAAAGGGATAATACATCATTACCAAGCGGGATTTCTCCCAGGAATGCAAGATTGGTTTAGCATTTGGAAATTTATTAGCGTAATTCATCAGTTAACACACTAAAAAGTTATATTGTCATTACAATAGATGCAGAAAAGACATTTGACAAAATCTAACATCCATTCCCAATAAAAACGTGGCTCAGCAGCCAACCAATTTTCAACACAGGCACCAACAACATACACTGGGGAAAGGACACCCTCTTCAATAAGTGGTGCTGGAAAACTGGATATCCATATGCAGAAGGCTGAGACTAGACCCCATCTCTCATCATGTACAGAAATCAACTACAAATGTGTTAAAGGCTTACACATAAAACATGAAAGTATGAAACTACTGGAAGAAAACATAGAGGGAAAGACTCCAGGATGTTGGTCTAGTCAAAGACTTTATGACTAAGGCTCCTAAAGCACAGGCAACAAAAACAAAAATAGCTAAATGGGACTATATTAAACTAAAAAGCTTCTGCACAGCAAAGGAAACAATCGACAGAATGAAGAGACAACCCGTTGAATGGGAGAAAAATATTTGCAAACTGTTCATCTGACAAGAAACGAATATCCAGAATATACAAGGAACTCAACTGGCAAAACAACCCATTAAAAAGTAGGCAAAGGATACTATAGACATTTCACAAAAGAAGACATACAAATGGTGAAGAGGTATATGAAAAAATGCAGAGAAATGCAAGACAAAACCACAATGAGATATCATCTTACCCCAGTTTGAATGCCTATTATAAAAACACAAAAAATAATAGACACTGGAGAGGATACTGAAAAAGGAAAACTCTTATACATTGTTGGTGGGAATGTGAATTAACACAGTCATTATGGAAAACAGTATGGAGATTTCTCAAAAAACCTAAAAGTAAAACCACCATGTGATCCAGCAATTCTACTACTGGTATTTATCCAAAGGAAAGGAAATCAGTATATCAAAGGAATTAACCCATTTATGCTGGAGGTTGCAAATTTTTTTGGGAAAAATCAGACCTTGGCAGTGACCTTGAGCAGTAGGATATGCATAACTCCCACAAGCTTAGCATTCCAATAATGGAACACTAGGCATAAATAGGTTAATGTACCCCAATGTTCATTGCAGCACTATGCACAATAGCAAAGATATGGAATCAACCTACGTGTCCATCAGTGGATGAATGGATAAAGAAACTGTGGTATATATACACAATGTTATACTATTCGGCCATAGAAAAGGAATGAAATAATGTCATTTGCAGCAATGGATGGAACCAGCATATTAAGTGAAATAAGCTAGGCACAGAAAAACAAATATAGCATGTTCTCACTTATATGTAGGAGCTGAAAAGAAGTTTGTCTCATGGAGGCAGAGAGTAGAAGGATGTTTACTAGAGCCTGAGAAGGGTCAAGTGGAGAGGGGGGATGAAGAGAGGTTGGTTAATGGGTACAAACATGGAGTTAAATAGAATAAATTCTAATGTTCCATAGCAGGGTAGAGTGACAATAGTTAACAACAATGTATTACATATTTCAAAATAACTAGAAGAGAGGACTTGAAATGTTCCCAACACATACGAGTAATAAACACTTGAAGTGATGGACACCCCAGATTCCTAGAGTTGATTATTACACACTCTATGCATGTAAGAAAATATTACATGTATTCCATAAATATGTACAAATATTGTGTACCAATAAAAAAAAAAAAACCTCTCAGCAAATTAGAAATAGAACTTTCTCAACCTGATTAAGGACATCTTCAAAAAGCCGACGCAGATAGACTTAATAGTGAAAAGCCAAATGCTTTGGCCATAAGATACAGGAACAAGCAAGAATGTCTGCTCTCACCACTTCTATTCAATATGATATTTGAGGCTCTGGTCAGTGTCATTAGAAGAAGAAAGAAATGATTCCCAGTTGGAAAGGAAGAAGTAAAACTGTCTCTATTTGCAGATAGCACGATTGCACATGGAGGTTCATTGGTGTCCGTAGAGAAAGGATAGACTTTTCACCAAGTGGGGCTGGAACGTGCATATGCAGAAGAATGAACTTCAATTACACCTTCTGCCATATACAAAAAGTGACTCATAGACCTACATGTAAATCCTAAAGCTGTGAAACTTTTGAAAGAAAACCTGGAAGAAAACTTTTATGGCCTTAGGTGAAGTAAAGGTTTCTTAGATACAATACCAGAAGCACACTCAATAAAAGAAAAAAATGATTAATTGGACTTTGCAAAATTAAAAACTTCTGCTCTTGAAAATACACTGTTAATGGAATGAAAAAAGAGACAGACATGGACTGGGAGAAATATTTGCAAAGCAAATATCTGGTAAAGACCTTATATCCAGAATATGTCAAGAACTCTCAGCACCAATAATGGAAAATAAATAACCTATTTTTAAAATGGGCAAAAGATTTGAACAGATATTTCACCGAAGACGACACACAGTTAGCAACTGAATACATAAAAGATGTCTAACATCATCAGTCATTTGGGAAATGCAAATTCAAACACCTGCACACCTACTCGAATGGCTAAAAGTAAAAAGACCGAGCATACCAAGTGTTGGTGTGGATGTGGGGGTCCCAGAACTGTCATACACAGCTGGCGGGAAAGTAAAATGGAGCAGTCCCTTTGTAAAACAGTGTGTGGCCATTTCCTTAACAGTTATGCATATATAAAAATATACACAAATACTTAAAAAGTTAGGCTGAGAGCACCTTGGGGCAGGACCCAGGACAGGGCACAGCTGGGCATGAGGATATCTGCCAGCCTCTGGGCAGGGCAGATCCAAGTTTTGTGGGGCCTGACGCTTGTATGACTTGGGTGGCCCTCTGCAGGGAAAATAATTTTCAAATGAGTCAAGATTAGGTACAGAAGTGAATATTTAGGACAAACCAAGTGACCACAAATTCCTGGAGCTGTGGATCTCCAGGTTTCTTTTCTTTTTCTTTCTTTTTTTTTTCCAAGTCATCTTGAGATATTTTTCTAGAAATGCTCACATAGAAAAGCTTCCTGGTGGCATCTGGCTTCCCCTCCCCATCTCGCACACTCAGCCATTCCAGCCTTCGTAGCGCAAATGCTGTGCAGCACTGCTGTCCCCAAGGCAGAGCTGCTTCCAAGTGGCAACCTCGGTAGGTGGCAGTGCCCACACTCTTGTGAGTGACCACAGCAGCCAACCGAGCAGCCTCTGGGGTTGGGCTCCGCTGTCTCAGCCTCCAGCTCCCTTCCTACCCACCTCCACAGCTCTGCTGTCCAGCGGCTGTCTGAGCCCTGGCAAGCAGGGCTTGCCTGCGTAGTGAAGGGCTCCAGACGGCATCGCAGAGCCCTGGTTGCTCCTCACCCTCCTGAGCATTGGGCCCCACGGCCTTTCCCCCTGCCTCCCCACAGGCCCACTGTGGTGCCCTCAGCCAGGACACAGCCCCGCCCTCTGCCTCAGCCCTCAGAGCAGCCTACTTGGTTTCCCCAGTTCTTGGCGGAGAGATGGCGGGAGGGAACGTGGGATGGCTGAGAGCCCAGAGCCGGGACTTGAATCTCTGGCTGTGCCACTCATTCGCTGTGTGCATTCAACAGGTTACTTAATTCCTCTGTGCTTCAGTTTTCTCATCTGTAAAATGTGGTTGGAAATAGTACCTTCCTCACGGAGTCACTGTGGAGGTTAAAGAACCCCGGGAGGGCATGTGTGTGGCAGCTGTGCTTGCCAGAAGGGTCACAGGCACTTACTAGCTGCTCAGTAAGCGCTGGTCCTATCTGCTCTCCATCCCTGGGTCACGGGCTCCAGCAAAGCATGGCTTGGGCCCACCCACCCCCTGGGAACACAGGTCTGTGGATCTCACACCCTACCAGCAGATAGTCCTGGGATGTCGCGGGTAGGGTGTATAAAGACAAACTCATTCTTGAAAACCCTAAAATTACCTGTAAAGTTCAGTATAAATAGTTTTTTTTTATATTTCCCAAAGATCAATTCACTTACACATGAAAACTTGAAAACCAGAGGGGAAAGTCAGTTCCCAAGCAACTGTCTTGAGTTTTCCCATCCTTCTGCCTTTAGGTGCCGATCCACTGTCTAGCCGTGAGATGGGTGTGGTGGAGTAATCTGGGGCGCTGTGCTGCATCCTGGTTTAACATCCAGCCTCTGTGACCTTCATATATACAGAGACTCTTGTCTTCATGGTGGGGAAGGGAGGCCCTAATCTCCGAGCCAAAGTTAAAAGCACATAGTGACGTTCAGCTGTGTTCTTAGAGTGGGCAAAATTGATTTGAAACAGAGCATAAAGTGAGGCCACCCTGGGGCACTGAAAGTCTCTGAGCTGGCCTAACATCTGCATGCTTTTTTTTTTTTCTAATAGTGTCCTGGGGTGCTTTAAATTATTTCTATTTTGGCATGGGAAAATAACAAAGTGAGACTAAGGGAAAAAAGAGAAAATGGGAAAGGGCTCCAAATAAAGAGGTGTGAGGTGTGAAAGGGATGGACTGTGAGACAAAAGCAAAGCTCAGCTGTTGCTGGAAGGACTTTGAGAGTATCCCACAGGGAGTAGCGCTGACTAGTGCTGGGGATGGAGAGTGGGCTGCGGGCAGGGACCCGGCATTGCACAGGGACCCTCCATAAGCCTGTGTCTCCCTGTCTTCCAGGTGGTGCCGGGGAGCGGGAGAAGGTGCCGGCCAACCCCGAGGCGCTCCTGCTCATGGCCAGCTCCCAGCGTGACATGGAGGACTGGGTGCAGGCCATCCGCCGGGTCATCTGGGCCCCGCTGGGCGGAGGTACTGCCCGTAGATCGCATGCCCACCCTCTAGAACCCTTGCCTCCAGGTAATCATGCCCCCTGCCTGTCCTGAGCCCCCAAAGACCCCGCTCACTGGGGACTTGCTGGCTGCATCCTGTGCTTCTCACAGCAAGCTGGCCCTTCCACTGCCAGCCCTCAGGAGTCACCCAACGACTGCCATGTACTCACTTCCTCCTTTATTGAAAACTGTGTATTAGACGTCTAAATGTACTGGATTCTATTCCAGTGGTGAGGAATTCATGAGGATAGGCCACACCTCCACCCTACCTCATCTCCATTCTCTGCAGGAGGGATGGTAGACAAGGACATGTGTCTTGTGGTGTCCAGGGGTGAGACATGCCACAAAGCCAGTGAAGCTCAGTGAGAGGACGGCGGGGGTGTGGCTAGGTGGAGTGGCCCAGCAGACTTAATGCAGCGACGGGGAGCCAGGGGCATGCTGGGGGAGAGCATTCCGGCAGAGACATGGACATGTGCAAGCGCCCCAAGGTAGGGACGAGCTATGGGAACACGAGCCATGCCAGGAAGGCTGGGGCTCCGAGGTAGTGAAGACCAGGAGAGAGGGAGGGCCTGAGGTGAGAGTGGTCACCAGGGCCTTGGAGTCCTCGTGGGGATTTTTTATTTTGTTCTATATACAGTGGGATACCAGGAGGGCTCAGAACAGGAGACACACGGGACCTGGATTTATGAAAAGGGCCCCCTGGCCACCACATGAGGAGTGGACCATAGAGGGACAGGAGTGGACACAACAGGCCAGGAGAGTCCATGGGATGGGCATACAGCTGATGGTGCAAAGTGGCCAGCTGCAGGTGTATCCTGAAGGTGGAGCTGCCAGGTTTTGCCTATGGTCTGGACATGGGGTATGAGAGAAATGAAAGGTGACTCCCAGCCATGCAGTCGCTATCTCTAGGTTGGTGTCCATATGAAGTGGTTATGTAAAGACGTTTCATAATGGGATCACCATGGCATTGGGGCCAGAGCCACCAACTCCCTGCTGAATGTGGACACTGGGAGTCTGAAAGCTGGCCGGACTCTGACCACACAAGCTATGGATGTCCTCTTTCTCCCTATGGTGTTTGATAAGCACACAGTCTGGGCAGAGACTCACTTTTTGGGGCCCTGGGCCAATCTCCAGATTTCACAAGCCCCGGCTGAGCCCCTTCCTTTGCTCCTCTGTTTGCCCACTATCCTCTCCCACCCCTGGCTATGGTCTGCCTGACCACCTTTCATTGAATTGTAAATCCCTTACAAGGAAGAGTCAATATAATATTGAAAGTAAAAGTTGTTCTCTCAGGCTTCATGAATGATATCACACTGTCAGCCTTGGTCCCCTTGATCCCTGAAGGTTGCAGCACATTTGACTTATGGCCCCAGATTAATGGCCTGGAAAGGCCTAAGCCCACCCAGGGATTTCTGCAGTGTCATAATGGCTTCCTTTGGTTCCAGGTTGCTGAAAGTGAACCAGTGGAACAGAATAGAGCCCAGAAACAGAATCTTATATAGTTGGACTTTGATGTATGACAGGTGACACTTTTGAGCACCAGGGAAAGAACATTATCATTATCTTGGGGTAGAGAAAGATTTTTTAAATGAGTTACAAAAAAAAAAAAAACACTAATCTATTATGAAATTGTTGATAAATTGTATTTTATAAAATGAAGAGCGTCTGTTTGTAAAAAGTAGATTAAGAAAATGAAAAGATGAACTATAGATTGGGTGAAGGTGTTTGCAACACATATGGTCATCAAATTACTCACTCCCCACACTCCTACAAATGAATGAGGCAAAAACAGACAAGGCAGCAGAAGCATGGGCAAGAGATTTGGACAGGCATTTCCTAAAAGAAGAAATCCTCATGACCAGTGAACATAGGCTCCTGCGCACAACCTCTTCAGTAATCAGGAAGTGCAAATTAAATCGCAATGGGATACTTGTGTGCACCCACCAGAATGACTAAATGACTAAATGAAAAAGACGGTTTCAAGTGGTGAGGAGGATAGAAAGCTATAGAAACTTGCACATATTGCTAGGGAAATCAGCAGTGTCTGCTGAAGTTGATGCTGTGCACACCTGTGTCCCAGCAATTCCATATGAAGCATGTCCCACATAGAAATGTGTGCACAGGGAGGCCAGGAGACTTGGATACATGGGATGTGCATGGCAGCCTTACTGATGATAGCCTGACACTAACCCAAGTGCCCAGCAACAATACAATGGATGAATAACTATGACTCAGTCTTGCAGTGAGAAACTCCACAACAATGAGAATGACTCTATTACAGTGCCACCTAAAAACATGCATGAATCTTAAAAACAATGTGGAACTAAACCCAAACAAACAAAAAACATAACATGTTGTATTATCTACCCATATAAAGATGAAATACAGGGCACAAGTAAACTATGTTATTTATAGATAGATAGGTAACAGAATATAAAGAAAAACAAAGAAATGAATGCCATGAAAGTTAGGATAGTAGGAAGGAGGGAAGAGGTTAAGATGGGATGGGAGAGGGGCATAGATATCCGAAATGTTCTCTAGCGTGACTTGGGTAGTTACACAGGTGTTCCTTTTACAATGACATGTTTATCTGCACATTTATGCTTTAAGAGCTTTTCTAGATGTGTGCATATAAAAAATAAATGAAACAAAGGGAGAAACTTGGGGTCGAAGAGTGAGATGACTTGCCCAAGATGACACAGCCAGCTAGGGGGCAGAACTGAGAAGTGGAAGTGGATGTTCTGATCTCGAAGACTGTGCTTGGTCCTGGCCCAAATAGCCCATCCAAGAGCTGCACCAAGACCTGCACCCAGCAGGCCTGGCTCCCCAGCCACACGTCCATCTCCCTCTCTGCTTGCTCAGATTTGGGGACCTTTGGCAGAATCCCACATAGACCCTAGACTGACCCCTTCCCCAGGCCTGGCATTTATCTGCCTTCCCGGGCTGTGTGCTGAAGAACTCACAACCATTAAAATAGGAACTGCCATCAAAGGCGCTTATCTCCTTTTTCCCTGGGAGTACAGAGGAAATGCAGAAATCTCAGGAGTTAGCGATGCTAGGCGTGTCTGGGCATGCACGGTGCTGGCAGGTGGGCTCAGTCGGCCCCTGAAGGTTTTCTGGCAGAGCTGTTATTAGCCCGCATCCTCTGGGAAGGAGGCTTAGAGGATCCGTCCTTCTTTGGCTGTTTTGTGACAGAGCCCCTGAGCCCTTTCTGGGGTGCTTATTCTGGCACAGGCAGGCCACCTCTGACAGACAGGAGTGGGCAGCGTGCCCACTGCCGATGGCACAGCCCAGCCATCCCCTTGAGAAGTGGGAGCAGGCCACTGGTCAGGGGAGCCTCACTGCTGGTGGCCTGCCCAGCCCACCAAGCTGTGGCCCCAGCTGGAGTGCCTCTCATTTGGGCATTCATTTGGTCATTCAGCCAATCTGCATTGGACTCACAAATGTTCTAGGGGCTGAGGAGACAGCAGTGAGCTGGAGGGACAGGCACTGGCCTCATGGTGCTCAAGTGCTAGTAGAGGAGGTGGGTGACCAGCTGAGCAGACATGTGGCAGGTTAAATGGTGGTGGGCACAGTGGGGACAGAAGAGGCAGGGAGGGGAACACAAGAGATAGGGTTAGGGTTTGGTGACTTTTGAGTAGAAGGAAAGAAAGGGTGGATGACAGCACAGGCAGAGGTGGGGGATCCATCCCAGAAGAACAGCAAGGAGGCCAGTGTGGCCAGAGCAGAGTGGGCAAAGGGGTGGAGAGAGACCAAAGAATGAATGACCTTGTCATCATGGTAGGGCTGTTAGCACCTCATCGCGTGGAACAGAGAAGTGGCAGAGCCTGGCCCATCTTCTACCAGGATCCTTCTGACTGTCATGTTGAGAAGAGACCAAAGCCAGTTAGGAGCTCCTTATACCAACAGTGCAGGTGAGAGGTGAGGGTGGCCTGGCCCAGTGGCGGTGGCGATAAGAAGTCATTGAATTATTGATTTATTTTGAAGGTAAAGTCAGTGGTATTCCCCTGCTAAGATGGATGAGAGGTATATGAGAATGAAGGAGAGAAGTTAAGGGTAATTCTGGGATGTTTTGATCTAAGCAATGGGAAGCTAATGGGTTAGCTATTAACTGAGATAGAAAGACTACAGGAACTGCAGCTATTTGAAAGGAAGATATGGGCCTAGTTTGAGATACCTATAAGATGCTCAAGTTCAGATGTCAAGTAGCCAGGTAAATATTTCAGCCTAGAAATCAGGAGAGAGGACTGGGCTAGAGAGAGAATTTAGGGGGCCATCAGCACATAGATGGGGTTTGAAGTCATGAGGCTGGATGAGACAGCACAGAGCGGGTGGAGGGACAATAGAGGAGGTGAGAAAGAGAGCAAGCCCCGAGAGGGAGGAGAGTCAGAAGCCACCAGGGTCCCTGAGCCAAGTGAAGGAACAAGGGCAGTGATCAGCTGCAGCAAGTGCTGCTGATAAATCAGCCAGAGGGTGAAAGCTGAGCAGTTGTTGGTGACTTGAGCAAAGGGGCTTTTGTGGAGTGCCTGATAATAGTGGGAATGAGAAAGGATGATAGGAGGGGAATTGGAGTGACAGCATAACCAACTCTTTCAAAAAGTTTGCAGGAAAGGGAAAGAGAGAAATGTGGACAGCAGCTGGAGGAGGAGGTGAGGTAAAGAGGAAGTTTGTTTATTTTTTTAAGCTGGAAGACAAAGCATCATTGCAAAACATTGATGGTGCAGGAGGGACAGAGAATTATTGCTGGAACACCAATATTTCTTATGGATATAGATAAAAAATCATCCATCAAATACTAACATGCCGAATCCAAAGAATTATACCCCATGACCAAATGAGATTTATCCTAAGAATGGAAGGGTGATTTAATCACCTGCAAATCAATTAATGTAATATATTAACAGAATAAAGGACAAGAACACATGACCATCTTAGTAGACTAGAAATAGCATTTTATAAAATCCAGCACCCTTTAATGATCAAAACACTCCAGAAAGCTAGGAATAGAAGGGAACTTCTATGATAAAG